ACAGTCTCACGTCCAGACCAGCAGACCACGCCGCCTCTGACCTCGGATGAGATTGCAGGCTCACGAAATACGAACGAGACTACCGTCTCACGTTCCGGCCGCCGAGTACGGTTGCCCGTACGTTTCCGCGACTAGCCGCACAGTTAACAACCGATACGGTGTAGGACTATTCCTATGCTACATGCATGCTACACTCTTCTCTTTTTTGATTTTCTTTTGTTTCCTGAGCCCACGCCTTCGACCATCTCTGTTTGGTACCGTCGACTTCAGTCAACTTTGGCGAAAGCTGGCCTGATCACCCACGCTCTTGTCAACGTACTCAGTCGATATATTGGTTTCGAATGCTTGGCATACGCTTGATCTCGAATGCTCAGCATACGCTTGGTCTCGAACTTTGTCGTTTTGGTCGCTTCTGGTCTTTTGGCTCAACGTGGTTTCGTCCTACGTCTGCAACGTTTCTGGTCCGCTTTCCCTACGAACGCCATCTTCAGATTCTGGATACAAACCACTCTGGTGTAGCATGCCAACTCAAGCAACAAATACAGCACATCGCTCCAGGTACCGTTCTCCGAAAACAACCTTCGTTGGCAACTCGACGATCAACGATCGCTTTCCTGTTCGCCAATTCTTCCGTCCTACAATCGCTCGTCAACCGATCAGTCCCACGATTCAAACCGCTATTTATCGAAAGTGTAAACCCTTTCTAGCGGGGGGCTCCTGTAGTGACTCACATTTATCACGAGAACACGACTGGTTTATTAAAAACAACCATTATTATAACAAACTGTACCAGTGTTTGTTTTAATGTGCTTTTGTTTGACTGTGCTAATAACAGCTATTTTGTGCTTCCATTCTTATTCACACACTTCGATTGTAACTTCGCGCGAATTCAGTTACCTTCTGTAACCAAGGTTGTATCCTGGCACGATCTCGGTATCCTCTCGATGCCACGAGATCGCCAGCAAATATAACTCGACTTGGTCCTTTAATTGTCTTCTGATATTTGGCTTCTCGAGGATTTTACGGATTTATTTGGTTACGTTCAACCTTCGCCTTCTGATTCGCTTGGCACGTGTTTCTTGGTAGCGGTGTTCATAGTTAAACTCAACTCGACCCCACGCTACAATTGGTGAACCCAAAGTTTGGAACACGCCTCAACCTCTGTTCGAATCCACTTCTGTCGTGTATTTTCATATTACCTTTCAATATATAATATACGCGACATGACGGATAACGATAAGAATAGTATTAATATAATAGACTCCCATGTACGTGTACCGAATCCTTGTCACTTATTATTCGCGTGACGGTAAATTCCACGCTTTATTCGAGAAAATTTCCCCTATTAACTTTTCTCCTCGCTGACCCGGCTGCTTGGTACGGAATGCATACGCATGAGCATATCCGTCTACCACCCAGCACCAAATGGTTAAGTAAACGGTTTCACTGCCAACTTAAAAGTGCTCTACGAGCACACGAGAACGACAACTGGTACGAAACCTTATCGCTCGTCCTCTTAGGTATTCGAACGAGCTTGAAGGCAGATATGCAATGTTCCGCCGCTGAACTGGTATACGGCACGACATTGCGTCTGCCCGGAGAATTCTTCACACCACGGAGCAGACCTAATTTCGGTAAATCAGACTACGTCCATTGACTGTCTGCATTTATGCGAACGCTGTCTCCGGTGTCAACTCGAATACAACATCGACAGGTCGCTCTCCCTCGAGAGTTATCTACCTGTTCACATGTTTTCATACGAGTAGATTCGGTACGCAAACCCTGACAACAACCTTACGAAGGCCCTTTTCACGTGATCGCTCGTCACGAAAAGACCTTCAAGGTTGATCGACATGTCCGCGTCGAGATCGTCAGCATTGATCGTTTCAAACCAGCACACGTCGATGACAGTGCCCTATCTGATAACCTGAGATTCAATGCTAGATATATCTGAGACCTCATTCTCACGTCCCGGTCAACAGCACGCGTCATCTGCACCGTCTACGGACGAGACGACAGTCTCACGTCCAGACCAGCAGACCACGCCGCCTCTGACCTCGGATGAGATTGCAGGCTCACGAAATACGAACGAGACTACCGTCTCCCGTTCCGGCCGCCGAGTACGGTTGCCCGTACTTTTCCGCGACTAGCCGCACAGTTAACAACCGATACGGTGTAGGACTATTCCTATGCTACATGCATGCTACACTCTTCTCTTTTTTGATTTTCTTTTGTTTCCTGAGCCCACGCCTTCGACCATCTCTGTTTGGTACCGTCGACTTCAGTCAACTTTGGCGAAAGCTGGCCTGATCACCCACGCTCTTGTCAACGTACTCAGTCGATATATTGGTTTCGAATGCTTGGCATACGCTTGATCTCGAATGCTCAGCATACGCTTGGTCTCGAACTTTGTCGTTTTGGTCGCTTCTGGTCTTTTGGCTCAACGTGGTTTCGTCCTACGTCTGCAACGTTTCTGGTCCGCTTTCCCTACGAACGCCATCTTCAGATTCTGGATACAAACCACTCTGGTGTAGCATGCCAACTCAAGCAACAAATACAGCACATCGCTCCAGGTACCGTTCTCCGAAAACAACCTTCGTTGGCAACTCGACGATCAACGATCGCTTTCCTGTTCGCCAATTCTTCCGTCCTACAATCGCTCGTCAACCGATCAGTCCCACGATTCAAACCGCTATTTATCGAAAGTGTAAACCCTTTCTAGCGGGGGGCTCCTGTAGTGACTCACATTTATCACGAGAACACGACTGGTTTATTAAAACAACCATTATTATAACAAACTGTACCAGTGTTTGTTTTAATGTGCTTTTGTTTGACTGTGCTAATAACAGCTATTTTGTGCTTCCATTCTTATTCACACACTTCGATTGTAACTTCGCGCGAATTCAGTTACCTTCTGTAACCAAGGTTGTATCCTGGCACGATCTCGGTATCCTCTCGATGCCACGAGATCGCCAGCAAATATAACTCGACTTGGTCCTTTAATTGTCTTCTGATATTTGGCTTCTCGAGGATTTTACGGATTTATTTGGTTACGTTCAACCTTCGCCTTCTGATTCGCTTGGCACGTGTTTCTTGGTAGCGGTGTTCATAGTTAAACTCAACTCGACCCCACGCTACAATTGGTGAACCCAAAGTTTGGAACACGCCTCAACCTCTGTTCGAATCCACTTCTGTCGTGTATTTTCATATTACCTTTCAATATATAATATACGCGACATGACGGATAACGATAAGAATAGTATTAATATAATAGACTCCCATGTACGTGTACCGAATCCTTGTCACTTATTATTCGCGTGACGGTAAATTCCACGCTTTATTCGAGAAAATTTCCCCTATTAACTTTTCTCCTCGCTGACCCGGCTGCTTGGTACGGAATGCATACGCATGAGCATATCCGTCTACCACCAGCACCAAATGGTTAAGTAAACGGTTTCACTGCCAACTTAAAAGTGCTCTACGAGCACACGAGAACGACAACTGGTACGAAACCTTATCGCTCGTCCTCTTAGGTATTCGAACGAGCTTGAAGGCAGATATGCAATGTTCCGCCGCTGAACTGGTATACTGCACGACATTGCGTCTGCCCGGAGAATTCTTCACACCACGGAGCAGACCTAATTTCGGTAAATCAGACTACGTCCATTGACTGTCTGCATTTATGCGAACGCTGTCTCCGGTGTCAACTCGAATACAACATCGACAGGTCGCTCTCCCTCGAGAGTTATCTACCTGTTCACATGTTTTCATACGAGTAGATTCGGTACGCAAACCCTGACAACAACCTTACGAAGGCCCTTTTCACGTGATCGCTCGTCACGAAAAGACCTTCAAGGTTGATCGACATGTCCGCGTCGAGATCGTCAGCATTGATCGTTTCAAACCAGCACACGTCGATGACAGTGCCCTATCTGATAACCTGAGATTCAATGCTAGATATATCTGAGACCTCATTCTCACGTCCCGGTCAACAGCACGCGTCATCTGCACCGTCTACGGACGAGACGACAGTCTCACGTCCAGACCAGCAGACCACGCCGCCTCTGACCTCGGATGAGATTGCAGGCTCACGAAGTACGAACGAGACTACCGTCTCACGTTCCGGCCGCCGAGTACGGTTGCCCGTACGTTTCCGCGACTAGCCGCACAGTTAACAACCGATACGGTGTAGGACTATTCCTATGCTACATGCATGCTACACTCTTCTCTTTTTTGATTTTCTTTTGTTTCCTGAGCCCACGCCTTCGACCATCTCTGTTTGGTACCGTCGACTTCAGTCAACTTTGGCGAAAGCTGGCCTGATCACCCACGCTCTTGTCAACGTACTCAGTCGATATATTGGTTTCGAATGCTTGGCATACGCTTGATCTCGAATGCTCAGCATACGCTTGGTCTCGAACTTTGTCGTTTTGGTCGCTTCTGGTCTTTTGGCTCAACGTGGTTTCGTCCTACGTCTGCAACGTTTCTGGTCCGCTTTCCCTACGAACGCCATCTTCAGATTCTGGATACAAACCACTCTGGTGTAGCATGCCTGTAAGATCCATTTTGAATGTTTTGTGTGTTTGTGAAAATCCCTCCATGTATTTACTTGCACTTTGTTCCTATTGATCCTCTTAGTTGTACATTGTCGTATTTTGATTACATTTGAGTTGTTAATACTTGTATTTTTTATTATAGTTTTTGTTTTTCTTACGCATTCACTAAGTTTGTGTTTCTTCCTGAACTGCATCTGTGTTGTTTTACTTGACACTTGTTCTTGGCGGTAGCCATATTGATTTGTTCCTCCTGTTGTGTGTGATCTATCCAGCCAGGATAGAATAACGTTGATTTGTTGTGATTGGTAAATTTCTTGCATCCTTTATCAACTCTCTTATTTATTGTAATTTAGATTTGATCAATTGAACAATTATTGGTTGGATAGCTGAGTGGTTATATTTGTTTAGGTAATAATGTACACTTAAATTTATGATAAATTATAGAACCGCTATCTTACCCAATTACTTTGTTTTGGTTTCAATCGGGCGAGGGCGCGTATCTAACTCATCCAGACAGCTGTCCAGCAGTCCAAACGTAGTTTGGATCTTACAGTTCTAAACAAATATTTGGTCGAATTCGTTTGGCTTTCGTTTCGTTGATTCCAATCATCGTCTCTGGGAATATCTGGTCGTTCGCTTGCGATGCCAAACAATCGTCGAAGGAAATTAAGTCCAAGGCTCGTGGATGTTAAAAGAGATGAACAAAAGGATGGATCCTCTCAAACTAGGCAAGTGCCTTCTGATGCTTCTATGTGTCATGGTTCATATTCTAATAGGGACGATTGTAATTATAGTGAATCTAGTTGTGATATAATGGCAGATGGCATAGAAAACCTTGATTTAGACGTGAAGCAAGCAAAAGGCGTAAGGCCTACGGCGTTTTTCATAGGTCCAGAGTTACCAAAGGTTGAGTTAAGTTATTTCGACGGTCAACCAAGAGGTTACTGGAAGTTTTTAAGGGAGTTTGAGACCTATGTGGAATCAAGGGTCAAGGATGATGGTCAACGCTTGCTTTATTTGATACATTATTGTAAGGGTAAAGCGAAAACAGCCATTGAGGGTTGTGTTATGTTGGAAGCCTCTTTTGGTTACAAGAAGGCCAAGGAAATTCTAAAACGTTTGTTCGGACAGGCGCATGTAATCGCTCGGGAGACTTTAGAGGACTTATTCAAAACTACAAATGTTGATTACAGTGATCCTGAGCAACTAACAAATTTAGCTATTAGGATGGAAAATTGTTCTATGGTTTTGAAACAGATGAAGTATACTGCCGACTTAAATTCTCTAATTACCTTAGAGAGAATAGTAGGACTCTTACCTCAAGTTATGCAAGCCCAGTGGGCGGACTGGGTGGATGAATTGACTGAAGATAATAGAGAACCAACCTTTGACGAGCTTACTCAATTTATAGCATCCCGCGCGAGAGTAGCTAATAGTAGGTTTGGACGGTTAGCGAATCGTCCGAGAAAGGGACACAACTTAAAGACAAATTGTCACTTGCAATTGGAGCGGGAGAATAATTCGAAAGAGAAAGCTAAATGCAGTGTGTGTTCCCTGGATCATGCTATTTATAAATGTCCAAAATTTTTAGCGCTTACCGTTCAAGAGAGATGGTCTCACGCGAAGGTTAATGGCATCTGTTTTGTCTGCCTTAGGCAAGGGCATAAAGTTAATGAATGTAAGCTGGCAAAACGTTGTAACGTTAATAGTTGTGAGAAGAAACACCATTCTTTGCTGCACAGCGAAAATGATAAACCTGGTACCCCGAATTGTTGTGGATTTACTAAATCCCTAAGTAGCCAAGTGTGCTTAGGAATGATTCCTGTACGTTTGATGTTGGGAAATGCCGAAATGGTGGGTTATGCTTTGTTGGATAACGGGTCTGATGTAACGTTGATAAAATCGAGCTGTTTGAGGTATCTCGGGTTGAAGGAAGACCGAGCGTCAGTGGTAGTAGAGACTGTGAGTGGTAATAGGACAATGACGGTCACAAAGACTCCTTTTGAGGTGTATTCTCTAGATCGGTCTGAACATGTTACGATCGAAGGGGCTCTGATTGTCGCAGATATACCAGGTCACAAGCCAACAAGGTCGGCAGTGAACAACTTAGTTAAATGGCCACATTTAAGGGATGTACCAATAGGCAACCTAGACTCTGAAGAAGTTCTGCTGTTGATTGGTTGCGATGTACCAGAGGCACACTGGGTGTTAGACCAGCGGTTGGGTGGAAGAAAAGGCCCGTACGCTGTGAAGACGTTGTTGGGGTGGACGGTCTTCGGACCTGCGTCATATCCGGAATACAGGAAAAGAGTTGTCAATCATACCAGTAAGATACAGGCTTTGGAGAACGAAATACGTAAACTTTATGATGTAGAGTTTTCTGATGTTTATTCAAATGATAAATCAGTATCAATAGAAGATAAGGCAGCTATAAGTATTGTAGAAGGGGGCACACGCTTCGAAAATGGTCATTTTGTAGTCCCTATACCATGGAAGGGGAACCCAGATATGAAAGGGGGGAATTATGAAGTGGCAAACAGTAGACTACAGAGTTTGAAGCGAAGATTGTTGAAAGATGACATTCTGTATATCAAGTATACAAAAGGTATTGAAAGTAATTTTATTAAGGGCTATGCGGAGAAGGTCCCTGAGATACAAGTGCAACCTAGTTATCGCCCTCGATGGTATTTACCTCACCATGCAGTTTTAAACCCGAAAAAACCAGAAAAACTGAGAGTGGTCTTTGACTGTGCCGCCAAGTTTGCAGGCGTTTCTCTAAATGATATGATTTATCAAGGACCCGACACAACTGCGGAGTTAGTGTGTATACTATTGCGTTTTCGCAAGGAAGCAGTCGCAATCTCTGCGGATGTTGAAGAAATGTTCATGCAAGTAAAGGTCCCTGAGTCTGATCGAGGAGCTTTAAGATTTCTGTGGTGGCAAGAGGGAGACATGGCGAGGGAACCATCCGAGTTTCAAATGACATCTCACCCATTTGGTGCCACATCATCGCCGTTTTGTGCGAACTTTGCCTTGAATAAGACGGCACAAATATTCTCTGACGGTTATGATGGTTATGTCGTAGATGCTGTTAAGAATAATTTCTATGTTGATGACTGCTTGGTATCCTTTCCCACTTGTGATCAAGCAAAGAGTTTCGTTAAGCAGATAAGTGAATTATTATGTAGGGGAGGTTTTAAACTAAAGAAATGGGTTACTAACTCGGAGGAGGTAAGGACCATCTTGCCCGATGTATGTAAAGAACAGTCCTTGATAGAAATGTCAACGAGTTATGACACTACACATCGAACTCTAGGAGTAGAGTGGGATTTTAGACGAGATGTATTCAAGTTTTACTTCGATGCGCCTGAAAGGCCTCTGACTAGGAGAGGGATTCTATCTATAGTTTCTTCTCTGTTCGATCCTTTGGGTTTAATTGCTCCAGTCTGTCTTACTGCCAAGGTTCTCTTGCAAAAACTATGTAAGTCTCAATTAGGCTGGGATCAGCCTCTCAACGAGCCATACATGTCGGCGTGGCTAAATTGGGTAGACTTTATGCGTCAAATAGGTCATGTTACGGTAGATAGGGGTATCAAGAAGAGAATTGACGAACCCGACGCGGAAGTAGAATTGCACCTGTTCAGTGACGCTTCAGAGATCGGTTACGGAGCAGTCGCGTACGCTCGAGTCAGTTATTTGAAGGAACAACCCTACTGTATTTTGTTATACAGCAAGTCTAGGGTAGCACCTATCAAACAGGTCACTATACCGAGGCTTGAGATGGCAGCGGCAGTGTTAAGTGTGAGGCTTAGCGAAGTCTTACAGAGAAGTCTGCCTAATTTTTTCTGTAAGGTAAATTTCCATACAGATTCCATGGTAGTGTTGTACTACATCAAGAATATCGAGAATCGCTATAGCACCTATATAGCTAACCGTCTCGCCATTGTGCATCAGTATACGAAGATTGAACAATGGAGTTATGTAAAGTCGTCACAGAATCCAGCTGACTGGACCTCGAGAGGTATACAAAAAATGTCAGATCTTGAGCTTTGGTTCAAATGTCCTACCTTACTGCATGGCGAATTTTGTACAGCAATCACTGACTGTCCGGAACCTACTCCTGACGATATTGAGTTTAGAAAAACTGCCGTGGTTAACTTGAGTAGTATAAAGTACAACATGTCACCTATTCTCGCTTATTATTCTGAGTGGTTGAAATTAGTCAGGGCCGTAGCCTGGCTTAGAAGGTTCATAGAATTTCTGATGGTGCTTCGTTCACCGAGTCATGAAGGATCCGTTCATCTAGGGTGTTTAAAGGTCAAAGAACTTGACGTCGCCAAGCGTAAAATTTTGTTGATGGTTCAAAAAGAAGTGTATGGAGAAATACTTAGTGGATTTAAAACCAATGGTAAGGTAGTTAGTCACAATGATCTGAAGGGCTTATCACCGATAATGCTTGATGGGTTACTCTGTGTTGGAGGCCGACTAAGCTACTCAGATTTCTCAAATGCCTTTAAACATCCAATAATATTGCCCAGTCGACACTTAGTGACAGAAATGATAATTAGACATTATCATAAGGAACAAGGGCACACAGGAACGTCACAAGTACTGGCCACGATTCGAAAAAGGTATTGGATAATAAAAGGAACCAGCACGGTTAAGAGAGTGATAGGAAAGTGTGTGACATGCCGGCGGTATACGATGGTTACAGGGCAACAATTGATGGCACCACTTCCAGCTTGTAGAGTGCAACAAGGATGGTATAGCTTCTCAGCCGTGGGAGTAGACTACTTTGGCTCCCCTTTTGTCAAAAGAGGAAGATCACTAGAAAAAAGATATGGATGTGTATTTACTTGCTTGCAAACCCGAGCAGTACATATTGAAATGACACATAGTTTGAATACTGATTCGTTTATAATGGCCTTGCTACGTTTCATTGGAAGGAGAGGGAAACCTGCAGAAATTTACAGTGACAATGGGTCGAATTTCGTGGGTGCGGTCTCTGAACTAAAGAGATTTGTGCAACAGTTGAATCAGCAAAGGATAGACAAGGAACTGTCAGCTAGACAGATTCAGTGGCATTTTAACCCGCCCTCATCCAGCCACAGGGGTGGGGTCTGGGAAAGGATGATTAGGTCTATACGCAGACTGTTATTGTTGATAACTAGAGAACAGACTTTAACTGATGAGACCTTAAGCACTTATTTGATTGAAGTTGAAAGGATATTGAACGATCGACCCTTAACTCCAGTCGTCCAAGATGCTAACGATCAACTAGCCTTGTCGCCAAACAGCCTGTTATTATTGAGAGAATGTGACGGAATAGTCGAAGAAGGTAGCATCAGAGATAAATATGACAAACGATGGAAACAGGTTAATCATCTTGCTAATGTGTTTTGGAAAAGGTGGTTAAGAGAGTATTTACCGTCTTTACAGAAGCGTCAAAAGTGGTTAGTTGAACACCGCAATTTTCAGAAAGGTGATGTAGTGATCGTGGCTTCGGACATATCGACCCGTGGAAAGTGGCCCTTAGGAGTAGTTGAAGATTGTAAAATAGATGACGACGGAAGAGTTAGAACAGTGGTTGTTCGTACGAACGGTGGATTAGTCAGAAGAGATATACGTAGATTATGCCTCCTGGAAGGCTCGAATTAGTTCCTCGTGTTATCAATATAGGTAGGTCGAGTAGGCGTACTGTTGTAAGTCCTACTCGTTCCTATAGTGTGATATGCTACATAATGAACCATGACCATAGGCATCAAGGTAGCTTGTGTGATATGGAGGGATTTTGGGGGCCGGTGTAAGATCCATTTTGAATGTTTTGTGTGTTTGTGAAAATCCCTCCATGTATTTACTTGCACTTTGTTCCTATTGATCCTCTTAGTTGTACATTGTCGTATTTTGATTACATTTGAGTTGTTAATACTTGTATTTTTATTATAGTTTTTGTTTTTCTTACGCATTCACTAAGTTTGTGTTTCTTCCTGAACTGCATCTGTGTTGTTTTACTTGACACTTGTTCTTGGCGGTAGCCATATTGATTTGTTCCTCCTGTTGTGTGTGATCTATCCAGCCAGGATAGAATAACGTTGATTTGTTGTGATTGGTAAATTTCTTGCATCCTTTATCAACTTTCTTATTTATTGTAATTTAGATTTGATCAATTGAACAATTATTGGTTGGATAGCTGAGTGGTTATATTTGTTTAGGTAATAATGTACACTTAAATTTATGATAAATTATAGAACCGCTATCTTACCCAATTACTTTGTTTTGGTTTCAATCGGGCGAGGGCGCGTATCTAACTCATCCAGACAGCTGTCCAGCAGTCCAAACGTAGTTTGGATCTTACAATGCCAACTCAAGCAACAAATACAGCACATCGCTCCAGGTACCGTTCTCCGAAAACAACCTTCGTTGGCAACTCGACGATCAACGATCGCTTTCCTGTTCGCCAATTCTTCCGTCCTACAATCGCTCGTCAACCGATCAGTCCCACGATTCAAACCGCTATTTATCGAAAGTGTAAACCCTTTCTAGCGGGGGCTCCTGTAGTGACTCACATTTATCACGAGAACACGACTGGTTTATTAAAAACAACCATTATTATAACAAACTGTACCAGTGTTTGTTTTAATGTGCTTTTGTTTGACTGTGCTAATAACAGCTATTTTGTGCTTCCATTCTTATTCACACACTTCGATTGTAACTTCGCGCGAATTCAGTTACCTTCTGTAACCAAGGTTGTATCCTGGCACGATCTCGGTATCCTCTCGATGCCACGAGATCGCCAGCAAATATAACTCGACTTGGTCCTTTAATTGTCTTCTGATATTTGGCTTCTCGAGGATTTTACGGATTTATTTGGTTACGTTCAACCTTCGCCTTCTGATTCGCTTGGCACGTGTTTCTTGGTAGCGGTGTTCATAGTTAAACTCAACTCGACCCCACGCTACAATTGGTGAACCCAAAGTTTGGAACACGCCTCAACCTCTGTTCGAATCCACTTCTGTCGT